TTCGAGGCTTTGTCTTCCAAGATACGCCGTCTTCAAGACTTAACCAATCTATGCAAAAATTAGTGTCTACAACTAGGAATAATCTAAATATTAAATTAAAAAAATACTTAACGGTGCGTAGACCGTATTTAGATTTACAAAAATACATAACGGCACGTAGTCCGTATTTTCTATCCTAGTCGGGTCCCACTAGTTGCCATTTCATAAAACTCGTGAGAGAGAATATATACATATATTCCATTCATCCATTCACTATTTGTGAATGGCCCATGCAATTTACAAATTAAAACAAAGTAAAATGCATTTAAACAACGCGCGCACTAGTAACTAATCTAGGTGGTTAATCCGATTAACACGCCTAATTAAAACTAGTCAAAGTTGTTTAACCGATTATATAAATTACGTCATTAATAATTGAAGCTCCCACTAAATTCCGCATTTCCTTAATTAATCCAATTAATTAAGTCGGTAGCACCCAAACTTGTCAAAATGAAATTTTGCCAATGCCGCTCAAAACCGAGGCCTAGCCTCCCAAAATTTTAATTAAAATAAACAAAGTTAATTAAAATAAGTAAAACGGCAAAATAAGCAACTTCAAGCCTACTATGGCTAGCCACCTCACCGCACCAAGTATACACACACGCCAAGACCACGAACACACGGCCCACGGCACACGGCCGCGAGCTGCTGCCACGGCACAGCCGCGCGTGGCTGCTGCAGCCCGCACCTGCTGCCGCGCGTGTGCTGCTGCCTTGCATGGATGCTGCCGCGCGTGTGGCCGCAAGTAAGGCGGTGCTGCCACCTTGGCAGCCACATATGGGCTGCTATGCAGCCCGGCTCGCCAAGGTGATGCAATGCCTCGTTTTGCGTGCCACGACCTCGGAATTTGATCCCTTTTCGCAAGACAACAATAATTATTTCTAAATTAATTTTAGAACTAATTTAGAGAGCAAAATAAAATTTTAAACAAGTCTAACTTAATAAAAATTTTAAAGTGCAAATAACCAAAATAATTCCAAGAACCATTCTTAATTAAATTGGTTTAGCTTGTTGCAACATAAAATTGAGGCAATTTCTCACTTTCAATTTAATCAATTTAAATTAAACTTGAGAATTTGACAAAGTAAAGGGAAGTTGGAAAAAATATGAACTTTAATGTTCAAATGAAAATTCCAACATCTAAATTTTGTAAATCCTTGAAAATTATATCTTCCAACATGAAGATAACCAAATTTCTATCACAAAATCGAAACTTTATGTTTCCAATCAACTCAAAATGATTAAAACATCAAAGTTTAACACAAAATAACATGTAATTTAGTGGTTTTTAAAGTTTCAATCACTTATCACAAATAAAGATTGAATCTTTAACACTTATGGAAGCCTCAAAATTAAAACTTTCACACTAAAAAGCAATTAGTTTGCAATTATGTGAAAATAAATCAACCTTTAAGCATCAAATACTACCAAGTAAGTGTGCTTTAAGGGGACAAAAAATTGCAGAAAATAATGCAAATAATCAACCATGTAATCAACAATTTATGCCATTAATTTCAAGGTTAGAAAAGACTTAAAATTTTTCGTCAAAAACAAAAAACCTCTCGAAAAAAGCATTTCTGGTCAGCATTTCTCGTGGCATGGTGCGGCTGCGGCTACTGCCGTGGTGCGGCGCGGCTGCTGCTGTGCCTAGCCGCGGCTGGCCGTGGCTGCAGCACGGTGCGCCGGCTCATCTTGCCCCTAGCATTCGGATGCTTGGGGCACTCCGATGCTAGGGTATTTTCGGGAATATTGTTGATTTATTATTTTTTTGCGTGTCTCGTCTTTTATTATTTAGACTCGACTTCCGACGATCGGTTTCGACGCTCTAAGCTCGAATTACCGACGTCTAATTATTTAACACTCGGACGACGAATTAATTTCTTCCGAATTAATTCGTCGAGTTGGTTCGCATATATTTGCTTGGGTGTGACCCGAAGGGTTCAGTCAAGATTAAGCTGTAATATTAATTATATTAATATTACTGATCGGAAGCGGCCTCCACCCAGGCATTCCGATCACTTAACCTTACTGAATATATTAGCTTTCTAATAATTCTGAACCCGCTATCAGAATAATACACTTGTTCGAAGGACACTATTCCTTTCAAGACCATATTAAACTTATTAGAATTTATTGAACTTATTGAACCTTATTAGAACTTATTACGGAGTATTAGAATTGATCGTATCTTGTTTATCATACATCATTGCTTTGTTCGGGTAAATTTTTATCTTCCTATATATCTACTTAAATTATTGGTTCCTAATTTTATGAATTAAGCCTTTATTGTGTGTATTTTTTCTATTTAACCTATTTTAGATATTTGATAGTAATCAAGAAAATTGTGTACCTTTTTATAAACCACTTCTTAAATTTTATTATGAAAATTTTCCTAATAATATAATCACAATTATGTAATAATGAAATAATAATTTTTAATTTTTAATTATTAAAAAGCCTTTAGAAGCTCAATAGCTAATAATTTAAAATCTTTAGAAGCTCAATAGCTAATAATTTACCTAACAGTCTTACTAAAAATTCAAACATTTACAACTAACCGCCAATTGATAGCTAACAACTAGTTGTACAACTAACAACTACTACAACGGCTTACAATTACACACACATAGTTACTTTTACCGAATATGCCTTATAAGTCTATACTATGTATATCTCTATGAGCATGCAACTGTGCAACACTATTGCAAGTGTTCGAGAGTGAGGAATAGTTCAAATGGTTACAACTTTCCTCTCGGTTCCAGGAGATCCTGAGATCGATTCTCACCCCTGCCCTTGTGCCCTTATGGCTTTCTAAACAACAACTACTTAAATAAAAAAAAAAAACCTAATACAAGTGCTTACACTGTATGATTTTTTAAAAAATGGTCAATGACTGTCAACTCATGTTATTATCAAAAGGATTTTTTGTGAAATACTACCTTTTAAACTCCAGATTTTGCGAAAAACTACCCTAAAAACAAAATGTTGTAATTAACTACCTTATAAAATATAAAACGTTGTAATTGACTACCTTCTACCTGAATGACACATTTGACTTTTATTTCCCGATGTTGACCATGTCACGTGAGGGTCATGTGACCCTTTAATGACTTAATTCCCCTCTTTTTCCCAAATTTTCCCGCTTTACACCAATTCAGCCCATATAATTATCAAAGGGGTTGCAAATAAACAATATAAAATATGAATAATCATATTGTTAAGGAAAAGAGTTGGTATAAAGTGGGAAAATTTGGCAGAAAAGGGGGGGAATTAAGTCATTAAAGGGTCATGTGACCCTCACATGACATGGTCAACACCGTAAAATAAAAAACAAATGTGTTATTCCAGTGGGAGGTAGTCAATTACAACATTTTATACTTTATAAGGTAGTTAATTACAACATTTTGTTTTTAGGGTAGTTTCTCGCAAAATTCAAAGTTTAAAAGGTAGTTTTTCACAAAATATCCTTATCAAAATCTACTCCATACATAGTATATGGTATTAAAATTAGGAAAAATTGTAAATTTGATTTAACCACCAATTGTAATTTACTCCTTATATGGTATTAAAATTATCAAAAACCTCAAAGCACCAAAATTTGATTTAACCACTTTTTTTTTTTTTTTTTTTTTTTTTTTTTTTTAATAATTATTAATTTCATTTTTTAAAATAAAACATCGATTTTTGCCAAAACTTGATCTATTAAGGTTAATGTGGCCCCTTTGGTCCTTTGAGTTCAATTTGAGGTTATAATTGAAATAAAATTATTGGAAATGCCACGTTTTTCTTGTTGAAAATTACCTAGATTACGTGAAACTCCAATGCAAGACATTTTCAATACTTTATTGGGTGTTTAAAGTTTTTAACCTCAAACTAGATCCAAATGACCAAAGTAACCCCCAAAACTTTAATAGACCAAATTTCAGCATAAAAAATCGGTAATTTTTAGTTAAGAGATGGTGAATCTAACTTAATTTAATTTTAGGGATGTTTTTTTTTAATATTAAAAAAAAGGTGATAAAATCAAAATTAGGTGTATTGACAGATGGTTATTTACGAGTTTTCCTTAAAATTATTATGTTATGTAAAAACATAGATTTTTAAATCAATTTTAGCACTTGTTTAATTATATCAAATTTTGTACGGAGTACTATGTATTTCATATATTAGGTCAGATACTAAATCAATAACCAACTAATTAATGCATAAATTGATTGTGCAATTGTATCGATTTATCATGTATATATTTCTTGTTTATCAGATGATTACTTGATATGGAGTATTAAATTTAATTTATCTAATATTAGTGAATTATAATTGTAATGTATAAATTAACATGTTAAAAATTTCGCCCCCAATAGATAATTTTCGAAGATCCGCCACTAGTCATATATATCTAGTTTTCCTTGGTTTGAATGTAGGGGATATTTTTCAAGCATTAAACATTTCTTGTCTTCTTCCCCGGATGTCATTGGAAATTTCTACTATGTTGTCATGTCTCACTTTAAAAGTAAGAGTATCAACACAGATTCTTCACCTATAATGTTCTATCGCCATATCTGACTTTAAAATGAGAGTATCAAAACAGATTTTTTACCCATAAATACAAAATTAACTCTTAATTTAATATATACAGTTTTGGGGTTGCATATAACATTACCCGAATAATACTTCATCCTAAGATAGTTTTTCTTGTATAAGGGAAGTCAAGGTCATAATGACAATTATTAATGCTTATCTGTCACAACTTTAAGAGGATGATATTATACTAAATATAACATTTATTTCCATATTTAAGAATCTACTCAATTATAATCCTTAATTATTGGAAGCTAAACTTTGCGTGGCTTCCCTACCTATCTTATATATATATATATATACAGTAGTGTTGGGAGCTAAGTTGCATTGCTTCTTTGCCTTATTATTAATAGCACATATATATATATATATATATATATATATATATATATATATATATACATCACCTACTTTGCATAGATATACACCATATATCACGTATGTGCATGTCAAACTTATCTTAGATTCAATTTGTTGAAAACATCACCTACCTTCAAAGATGACGAAAATTACCAATTGTTTTGCTTTGATATTCATATTGTTTCTGTTCCTCGTTTTGGGTAAGTATCACATTTGATTGTCTCACATTGTTCAGTTAAATTAGCTTGGTCTAATGGTTGGTGCGTAGCACTCAATTAAATTAGCTTGGTCTAATGGTTGGTGCTTAGAACTCACGACCATGAGGTTGTGGGATTAATATCCCATCATATTTTTGAGTTGAGAGGTGGGGGGGGGGGATTTCATCATCACCTCCTCACGCTTAAGTTGCTCGGAATTATTAATCAGTGCAACTAACCTAGAGGGTATCACCCGACCCAAGCATGGTTTGTTGAATTTTTATTTTTATTTTTTATTTTTATTTTTTGAGGAATGGTTTGTATATTTTGTTAGAAGACTAAGTCAACGACCATAGGTTTAAAGTGATGGTTAAAGCCTCATCAATTTTATTTACATATGGAATATATACCTTTTGTTGTTTTAAATTGTATGTCGAATTTTGCAGGAACAAACTCAACACAATTCATATTCAAAAACAATTGTCCAAACATCGTATGGCCAGGGACCTTAACAGGTAGTGGGCCCGCATTGCCAACTACCGGCTTCACTTTGAATCCTGGTGCAACCTACAATTTTGTCGCTGCCCCTTCTTGGTCAGGTCGCATTTGGGCTCGCACTCTTTGCTCACAAGATGCTACCACACAAAAGTTTGTATGTGAAACTGCAGATTGCGCATCAGGTACCTGTCATAGGCCGAATTTAGTATTATATATATTTTTGTGACGACATTTTAATTTTTATGCTTGCTATTAACGTAACTTAAAATTTGAATTGTAACAAAAAGTGGTATATTGAGGAAAACCTTAACACAATTTATTCGTCAATAAATGAGAATTAGCATCATAAGGTGATATTTTATATTTATACATTGGGACTAATTTTTTTTTAGACTTTTTATCACCTTTTAAAAATAATTTTTATTACCTTAATAAGTTTAAGTTTATTTTACCAACTTTTACTAAAGAATTTTTTAATTATACAACGAGTTAACAACTTACATCTATTATTAATACATTAAGTGTTAGCAAAATTAGAAGAAAACATTTTTTTAATATTTTTTTAAAGATGGTAAATGTCAAATTTGATTTTACCACTTCAAATTTTATTTTGGATTTCACCACAACTCGACAAAATCATATAAAAATAATTTTTTTAGGTGGTACTCCGTAATAGTAAAAAAAATCCCACTAATTTATAAAATAAAATTATTAATATTTTCATGATTTATTGTTTTCTATACCCGAGCATAAAATTCTCATCACATAAGTATCTAATAAATTAAATTTCGTATTACTCTAGGAAGAGTTACGAAAAAGTTATCAAACAAAAGATTAATGAGGTGATAATGAGCATGAATTTATATTGTAAATTTGTATGAGATTAAAAGTCATAGGCTAAGGAGCACAGTCCTACTAATTCACCTCAAAAATCCAATTTTTATCTTAAATAATCATTATCATAGTGGTTATTCCTTGGCAAATTATTAGGCTTACACTTTCACCTTATTTTTACCAATTTCATTTCATGAAAAATAGGTTTTGATAAGAATTGGTTAACCATTTTCATATGATAACTAAAATAAATTTTATTAAGTTCTAACAAGTTCAAATAAGTAAAAATTAGGTGAATTAAACACATCAATACAATAAACTTTTTTTTTTTTTTTATAACATCAACATACATCATTTTTTACTAACTACCAATGGGCGTAAGTGTATTATTGAAAAATTAAGTCATACCCATAAATTATTTTGGAACAGGGCTGCTAAAATAAAGGTTAAAATTTTGAATTATTTTGTATTCCTTATTTTCTTCATTTGTTTTTTCATCTCGATTTTTGGTGGATTTAATGTACTATGATGGGCTAGACTTGTTTGCAAAGTCTGCAAGGGGTTAGTTGTAGACTTTTTTTGTTCATAGTAATTTTTAATTATGCACATGGTGAAGTAATAAAACCATGGCTTTGTTTTTGGTGCTAAATTCAACATTTGAGTAATGTTACAAGTTGCAACTAATCACACAATAACATAGGTTGCATTACAAATTTTGGTTTAACATTATTGTGAAACTCCTCAATATTCCATTGATCAATATATTTAAAAGGTTTAATATACGAAATTCTTAATTATGTTCGAAACATGTCAAAATATGGTAAAATTTGCATAACAAAAATATCCAATCCTAATATCCTATAGATATGACGAAAAGTTAGTGCTATGTAATTAGTAGTAATAATCATTATCATATCAATAAAAAGCTTTCTTAAGAAATTTTTGTGAATTTGTTTCTCATAGGTCAAGTACTGTGCAACGGAGCAGGGGCAATCCCACCCGCCACCCTAGTAGAATTCACCCTAAATGGGAGTGGTAATTTAGATTTCTATGACGTTAGCCTAGTCGATGGATACAATTTGCCAGTATCGGTGGTGCCAACGAATAGACAAAGTTGTAAATCCACGGGTTGCCCCGCGAACATAAATAGATCATGCCCACCAGAGTTGCAACTTAAAGATGCTCATAGTGGTGCAGTTATAGCATGTAAGAGTGCATGCTTGGCCTTTAATAAGCCAGAATTTTGTTGCACTGGGGCATATGGTAAGCCACAAACTTGTCCACCAACAAAATATTCCAATATTTTTAAGTCACTTTGCCCTCAAGCTTATAGTTATGCTTATGATGATAAGACTAGCACTTTTACATGTCCTAGTGGATCAAGTGATTATACAATCACTTTTTGTCCTTAATTGTATGCATGAAAGACATCATGCAAAATTGTAATGGCTAGTTAGAACTACCATTGTTTTAATAAATATATTTGAGTTTTTTTATAATTTTTTTTTTATATATGTTCAGACAGTACAGTACTTCTGCCTTTTGGACTTATGATTCTTTTCCTAATATGGGGAAACTATTGACTCATATTGGTATTTTCCCAACACTAAAGGTGACCAAATCAAAAAGTATACTTACTCTGTTTATGTTTAAATGCTAAGTTTTGCATTTTATGATATTCACACAGTCTACTATATTTTTGGTGATTAGAGCTATTTAATTTCGGATATTGGGTTTGATATGAACCAAATTCTCTGGTATCCAAAATTTCGAATTGGAAACATATGTACTCTTAATCTAGGGGCGGGGCTAGAAAAGCCACAATTTTGGATATCCCGCTCAAGTTTTAAGTTTTTTTTTAAAAAATTGGACCCTCAACTTATTGGTAAAAAAGTAAAAAGAAAAGGCAACTATAGTAAGATTTGAACTCTTGTCTAGAGAATATCATAAAAACCACAAAACCATGATCCACTTGTGTTTTCTATGTCTTCTAGATTGGCTTGGACGTGGTTTTGAGGTCAGAGTGGATTATCAAAGGGGGGTGTAGAGGGGTTGCCAGCCGGTGGATAATGCACCAGTTTAAGTGGTTAAGTGTTGGGGGGGGGGGGTGGCCAACAGGTTTCCGGCTAGGTTAGGGGTATATATATATATATATAGGGGAGGGATCCGGTGAGAATAAGTTCATATGTGAGAACTCATACTTATATGAGAACTGATTTAAAATTTAGAACATATGAGTAAAAATTTAGAACATGTGAGTAAAAATTTAGAAGATGCGAGTTAAAATTTATAACATGTGACTCAAACTAAAATTCTGAACATATGAGTAATAATTTAGAACATTTGTGTGAGTAATATGTTTAGAACATCTGATTTAAGAATTAGAACAAGTGAATAAAAATTTATAAAATTTGCTTTATGAAATTTTAAACATATGAGTAAATTTAGAACATTTGATTTAAGATTATGAACATGTGAATAAAAATTTAGAACAAACTGATATAGAATATAGAAAGTGTGAGTAAAGAATTTAGAACATACGTGAAAAAAAAATAGAACATACGCTTTAAAATCTGAAACATATAATTAAAAATCTTAGAACACACGTTTTAAAATTTAGAACATATAAATTAAAATTTTGGAACAAGTTATTTAAAATTTATGACATCAAACTTAACTAATTTATGGTTTAGAACATGTGAATACTAAATTAGAACATTTGATTTAATTTAGAACACCTAAGGAAAAGTTTAGAACATCATATTTAAAATTTAGAACATACGAGTAAAAATTTAGAACATAAAGAGTATTCTCACATAAGAAAAATTCTCATATAAGAAAAATTCTCACGAGAGCCTTCCCCTATAATATATATATATATATATTTATTATATATATATTGTAGGTTGTTAGTGAGACCATTGAAGACAAATTGACATCATAGTTGGAATTATTAGATACTAAAGTTTTGTTGAGATTATTAAAAAGAATTCCTACATGATTGAGATTATTAAAGTGTATTTTTCATTAAAAAAAAATTAAATATTTGACATAAAAAAAGGAAATAAAAAATAAACTAAAAAATTAAGCAGGGTAACCGTCACTCTTCCCTTCCCGTTCCTTTCTCTTTCTTCTCACACTGTTCTTATTCTTCTCATGGTGTTCATCAATTAAAATCCTCCTCTTTCTCACTCCTCTTCGCATCTATGAACCCCTCTTTCTTGTTCAATTTGGATTTTTGGGTTCCTTTTTCTCGTTCATCACTTTCGTTTGTGGTTTAATTGGACCATAAAAAATGTTGGATTCAATTGGTTGGAGCTTTTTCAATCGTATATAATGGATGTCATACCATTCTATTGTTTTAATTGGAAACATTTTTTATGGTTCATGAATCATGATAGCCAACCATAAATACTTTTGGGATTAAGACAACATTTTTAGTTCAATATGAATAAGTTCAATTCTATTAAAATAAATTTATTTTAGTAAAAAATAATTTTAGTTCATCAAAAAAAGTTTACTCACTAAAAATCAAAAACTTTGAAGAAACATATAATAGAAAATCAATAAAATAATTTTTAATTAGCATAAAAAATTTAGTTTGTAAAATTAATTTCAGTTTAATAAAAATAATTTCAGTTGAATAAGGTGAAAAGAGCAATATTACCAAAAAAAAGAAAAAAAAAATAAAAATAAAAATAAAAAAATGGAGCAAGTCCTTAGTCCAACACTCTTAACACAATTACGCTCTTAATAACAACTCTCAACATCAGAGAAGTCTTTTCATTATCATGTTCAAAAAAGACAAATGTTTCCGTTGCTTCTGGCAAAGTGAATCCTTTGATGGGGCACAACATCAGATGAATCCAATTAAGCAGATGAGTTTGAGGCGTAAACGTGTTATTTTTGTCAGATTAGAAGTGTCAACAAGAGCCTATACTCAATTAGTCAGATAGAAGGATCCTGACTTCTTTTTTTTTTTTTTTTTTTTTCTTTTTTTTGACAGACAAGGATCCGACTTCTAGTTGATTCACATTGGTAATGGATTGAAAACCAACAAAACAATATCCCATTTACAGTAAAGTTTTAGAGTACACTCAACAAAATTTAAGAAGCTTGAAAAATAAAGTATTGCAACCAGAAAATCATCACAAGAAACTGATCTCAATCAACGTGAGCTGTCAGCCTCATCAAATAGAGGATAACTCAAGAAAGTCTTTCCACAAATGGATCCAGTAAAGTCTGGCCATTGATTACCTTTGTCGTGGCAGCAATTATATCATATGCCATCAGTTCCTGAAAATTAAAAATTGCAATCAGAGGTTTCACCAAGGAAAATCAATAAAGGACAGACGGTGTCAACTTTAGCTCCATGGGAGCAAAAGTACCAGCGATTGCTACTGAAGCCTATACATACCCTGGCCTTCTTTCACCTGGGACACTAACATCAAATTAAGGTTCTCATGCCTACTCTTAATGCTAACTTAAGAATGGCAATTCAAATTTAGTCCGCTAATCACAAGATTGAACAAACCTGAGAACTGAGAAAACGGAGTGCAGATATCTCAGCAAATGTCACCCCACCAACAAAAACCACCAGTACTACAGAGCGTCTTCCAGATGCCGCTCTGTAACATAGGAAAAACCCCCACAAAGGCAGGAGATGTCAGTATACAAAGCAGCTTTTTTGGACTGGGAAAATAGTAGATACAGAAGCAACGATATGAAGAAAAACACTTTTTTTTTTTTTTTTTTTTTTTTTTTTTTTTTTTTTTTGACAAAAGAAGAAAAACACTATTTTGGATACTTATTTTTACACTTAAAACTTCAAAGTTTCTGAATAGAATATAATCTAAAAACATAACTGTAAATCTTTAATGTCAATAAAGCATGGTCAAATCATGATTAGCACATTGTTATTTTAACCATATTTGATATTGAATAAACAGAAAAAGGGAATAATTCATAAGTTTTTGTAACACGTAATGTGTGCATACTTGTCAACATTAGCTGATCCTCCTGACAGTGACTCCACTGATGAACCCCTAGATAATGCCCCCTAAAGATAACATTTCATAAATTAGGATCATAGCAGTAAGGAAAAAAAAAAAAAGAGTTTGCACTAAGTCTATAAAATATGACTAAATGAGGATAAGAAAAGCTCACTCTTTTTGTTTCAAAGTGTGGTCCAGGTAGTAGCTTTAATATTTCTTCAATGGAACGCCTAAATAATCAATTATGAAATCAGAATCATGATACTGAAAAAAAATAAAAATAAAAAATCCTAAGAAATATACCAGCAAAACTATGCATTTCATCCTCAGCATATGGTGGGAACTAAAGAGTTTTAAACATAAGAGGAAAATATTATGAATATATCATGGATATGGACCGAGTTTAGGGGTAATATGCAAGAACAAAGCAAGGAGTATGAATGATTATAAGTTGGAAATTACTTTCTGTACGATTCACAATACAAAGTATATAGGTGTAAGGTGTTAGCTATTTATTAGTGAGATAATAATGTTGGACATAGGTGTTAGCCAAAATTTTAAGGACTGATACTCCATGCACATCTGCTTGTGGACTCTTTAATTCCTAAAAACAGATCTACCACTAGTAAAAGACAGTTGAACTGTAGGAACAGAGACAAGAGGCGCATGGAGTAAGGTGATTAAATACTCAACCTCCATTAATAGTCAAAGTGTTTTGACGGCAGGTCTGCAGCTCATACAAAATGACATACAAAATGACATTCACTAGTTCATACCACTAGACCAACAGTGATGCATTAATTTAAAAGTCTATTAAATATGATTAGTGCCAGTGCAGTCTCTTAAAAAACCGATTTATGACTTTTAAAGTCTATGTGGAGAACCTTTTGATATGGGTACTTATATTTTCCATGCCATATTATTCAGCTCTGGTATGCCAAAGTCAAGAGGCAATACTGCAAGAATGAGTGGTTACATAATATTCAACACACACACAGATATCACCTAACAAAGTGATATTCAAGCAAAAAATCAAACTCTAGCAGCAATCATGCATGGTTAATTGGTAAAGAACACATAGAACCACTTTGAGGTTTTTTTTTTTAATAACACTTTGAAGTGTAGTTGCTGCCCAGATAACTGGAAGTAAAAAATTTAAGGCCAAACATAAAAGAAGAACCGCAGAAAAGATATAGTCGAAATAAGTCAAAACTAATATTTCAGGGATAATTTTCTTACCATCCAGATCTAATGGCTTGCTGGATCAGACGTATACTAAGTGGTGCATACCCAGAGAAGACATAAGAAATATCGTTGGGGCTGTCATAAACCACACCACAGGGAAGTCAGCATAGCAGCAACAGAGATGATATATAGAGTATTCAATTAACACTTAAAATGAAAGCAGTATCAGAACCAGAGCAGCCATACAAAGATATGCTAAAAATGACATTCATAACCAACAATAGTATACACCAGGTCATAACTGGAAGCAGTGTTTTCGACTATTTTTCGCTCCAAAAGATGTTATCGAAAATTAAATTACCATAATGCAACAGAGACAAAGAAATCAACCAGATTGCAATAACTTAACACCTTACAGGAAACAACTCTAAGCAGCTATCTATGGCCTACATACTTTAATAGTGAAGAAGATTACTTCTACTAACTAAAAACAAATGAAGATAAGGGTGATAATCGTGACATGTTGGCTTCATAATATTGTAAATTTTGCAAAACATATACATTACATCACACTTTTCATATAATTCAACAAGGTTTCGAAAAGATGAACTCCAAAAACCATCTAATACAAGAATTATACATTTGGGCAAGTGCGGTTTATGAAGTTCCGTCAATACAAAAATTCAATCAGAGTGTCAAAATTTTACATAGCTATCCATAATAAAACAGATATTCATCAAATTATTCTTCAACCTAACTGTTAAGATAGAAAAATGAGAGTCGACGTTAGTAATCTCACTAAAGATATGAATTAATGTTGATAACAATACCAATGTAGGCTGCTTTGGCAAGCAGTTAAGAAAATAGCTTAGATAGGTAGAAGAGGGCTTACATTACTATCTGGGGAATTTATTAGCTCATTTACTTGTGTATATCCATCATACTATCTCTCATCAGGGTCCCTGATTGCTCATCCAACGTGCTAGAAATGCCTAAACAATTATCTTTGGGTTGAGACTTGGAGATAACGGAGGAATAGGTAGAAACTTGGTGGATTGGATCTAAAACTGTATACTTCAGAATACATTTGAATTTCTGGAATACTGTACCTAGAATAACCCAGGTGAGAACATTGTTTTGGCATTTTTATGAACCTTACTCCCTTCAGTAAAATACTATAACAGGGACTTGTGAATCATGCCTCTTACACTAACTCCTGGAAGTTTATCTCATAAGTATTTTCCTGTAACAAATTTCGCAAGGCTGCCGTCATCTAACATCACTATGGACACCAGTCTTTATCACCTTCCTTTATGGAACACTATGTAACTCATCACCCCAACCATTAATTTCTCTAAATTATCCTTCCTCCACACCCACTGCCGCCTTGCGGTCACCCCCGCATTTAAACATCACCTGAACCCCACTCCAACACCTAACACCTCTTCTCCAGTCTCTTTCCTCTTTTCTTTCCCCCTCTCACATTATCTCTTTCTCTCTCCTTCAGGCAAACCCATCGCTGCTCTCTCGCCATCCACCAACCTTCTTATCTTCTATTCGCCAACCACAAATAAACCCCAAATAGAATTGGTTAGGACTTATTATTTGGGTGAGGGTGATTTTCTAGGAGCATGGGGTTGATTTTCAGGGGCATGGGTAGTGAGATGGTTTGGTGGTGGCTGATTAGTGGTGAGGTTGGAGAAAAAGGAGAGACAAATGTGGTGCAAGTGGCTCAGATAAGGGTTATTGTTGGCTAGAAGATGAAGTGGAGTGAAGGATAAGGAGATAGTGTGGATAGGATACGCTGGGAGGTAGGGTGTTAGGCAACAAGAAGGTGGAGATGTGGGATGTTGTTGCTTGTGGGAGTGTGGTGTAGATTAGGGAAATGATGTGGTGAAAAATTAGCCTAACCATGGTTAGCATATTAATTAAAACTAACTCATTTGAGCCTCATTAAGTCATTTGTAGGAAACTTTTTTTTAATTAGGGTCATTTCGTATAATACAAAAAAAGAATCACCATTTGGGGGATACCATTGAAATTTTCCCATTTTTAATCATACATTCAATATTTTTACTCATATGTTTTAATTTTTATTCACATGTTCTAAATTTAACTCATATGTTCTAAATTTTTACTGACGTATTCTAAATCATAAATCAAATGTTTTAAGTTTTACTCATATGTTCGAAATCTTAAATTAAGCTTTCTAAATTTTTTCTCACAAGTTCTAAACTTAAATCATGTTATTACTCATATGTTTTAAAATTATAAAAAATGTTCTAAATTTTTATTTATGTGTTCTAAAATTAAATCATATGTTCAAGATTTTAAATCGTGTGTTCTAAATTTTTACTAGTACGTTCTAAGTTTTATTCAAATGTTTTAAATTTTAAATTTGTTCTCTCTTCTTATATAAGTATGGTGTTCTCACATAGGGACCTATTCTCACAAGACCCTTCCCCTGTATATTACTAGCGACAAACAATAATTATTTTTTTTACATCATTAAGTTTAAACAATAACCTAAATAGCCAAATTTCACGATTTAAGAATAAAGGTATTCCGATATGCTGAAAATTTATAGCAAAAGTAATTAAAAAAAGAAAAAAAAAAAAAGTAAACCAACTAGTTATATGAATTCTAAGTTCTACTCAGTAGCTACGCATATCAAGAAAAAGTAAAAAAATGGACCATGCATGTGGGTACTTTGCTATAAAGCGGCGAAAGATAAAGTATGGGGGTTTTATTAAATATTATTGGGCCCACAAAGTAGGATTGTATATGATAAAAATTGAATAAAATGTTACCATAAAAGGAATTAAGTGAAAGTGAGTACAACCTAGAAAAATAGATGAAAATGGAAAGTGAGTAGAATTTTTTTTTTTACTCTTATTTAACCATTGTAGTATAAGCCAAGAGGATACTAAGGTTTTTTTTCAGGGGGACACCTACCAAGCAATGCTTAGCTTGCTTGATGAGGTTCTTACACCATATTCTTGAGGCATGGGGTTCAAATCTTTCCAAGTGAGGGTGCTTGGTGGCAATATTTCCTTACATTTCCCCCCTATTCCCAAGTACCCAATCTGCAAATACTGGACCAAAAAAAAAAGGACCATGAGGATAGGGGTGGTTGTGGCTGTAGGGGAAATCAGGGAGAGGGGTGATTGGGAATAAGGATAAACAAAAGACGGGTGAACCTAATCCAATCTATTCATCAAGTGGGGGACTGGAAATTGTGAGCTAAACACATACACCATAAATTCCTTTCCCTTTTTAACTTTCCCTGAATTATGATGCTAAACTACTCTTTGGTATCAATGTATCAATACTGGGGAGATTCCCAGATTAGCATTTTCATGCATATGCTTTCTTTTATGTCTTGGTAACTGTTGGAAGATTGAAGGTCTTTGTTAAAGTGTTTGCATTACACATTATAACTAAATTTGAAAAAAATCAAAACAACCTACTTTATCTGAAGAAACGCCATCCAGATATTCATGGTGGCAGTTTAGTGATTCAACCATCAGCAAGCCATTATGAAATATATTCTGCTACATCGACTTATATAATGACCAGTAAGAAATTCTCTAAGCTTAACAGCATATATGATAATTTTTTTAAAAAAAAAACAAAAAAAAAAAACATTTAACACAAATAATAATTCAACAGGAAATGATGACAGATATCAGTGTGCATACTTGGCTGTATTGATATCCTCAACTACAAGACGCATAGCTCGTTTTACAGTCAACCAGTTGCTTCTCATTTCCTGTCAGGATCAACAAGACAACAAGCATTAAATAACTACCAATAAACAGCACTATAATTATGATTGACAAGTCAATATTGCTAAAATTTGCCATTACAGTTGAACAGAACCTGTTTTCTAAAAAACCCAGCCTTTTCCAGATTATTCAGTGTGGCCATGTGCTCAAATCCATAGCTATGAAGTATCTCTCTCCTTCATCAAACAAATGTACCATAACATTCATAACACAGTATTTTGGAAAAAAAAAAGTGTTGCCATGATATGTATGACAGAAATCTTATTTATAAAATAAAAATTAAATTAAAAAAATTTGAAAATTAGACATCAGGTATAGATACCTCAGACCGTCATACTGTCTCTTAGGCAATCCTGAATTTGTAACAGAAAACAAGATGAGAAGTCGGAGGACACAGGCAAGAGGTTCCTGCTTGTGAATCATTTCTTCAATATACTCTAAAGATCTGCATATTACATAAGCAATGCATGTATCCTTTATGTGACTAGCAGAACCATACACATAAAACCCTTAGCCAAACACGTAATGCATCAACACAAAGCAGTGGAGCTAATATCAAACCCACCAACATTCTTCTGGATAGGTAGCTAACATGAAAAACTGTAAAGGTACTAAATTCACAAACAGGTACATTTTTCCAGATTCTAGACATCCTTTATTAAAACAGAATGCACTATGAAACGCCACTTCAATATGATATTTAAACTTCTTTTTGAGTCATAAAGGATGCACGAGAGAATTCAAACTAGACCATTCTACGACATAAAAGTTAGCAATTGATTTAAGCTTGCCATTTTGCAAAATGCTGTTGGGTAATGTAGCTTTGACATCAATTAAAGACCACTAGTTTACTGTATGGATGCAATTGGAATCCCATTTAAGAAAAATATGTTTTCATATTAGTCACTACAAATGCTTAGAACCTCTTATTTCTATTAAAATATAACAAGATAAGTGGTGAACAGTGGAATAGTTTATGCTGTACCGTAAAAATGCTTTTTTTTTTCCTACTTTTACATTTGTCAAGTCACGTCACTGGCCACAAAATGTGTCAAACAACCATGAGATGCAGCTTCCATGACACTGCGACCATGATATTTTTCCACATGGGAATACAACTCATTTTTACTGTTAAATAGACATGATCTTCAGCTTTAAACCCCCAAGAATTCAGTAAAAGAGACATGCTTAACTATTTCTACTTCCTAGAAATTGGTACTCGTATTTAAATCTACTTTTATCAATGATCAGATCTTCTCTCTCACTAATTTGACAATGTAATCTATAAAGAACCAAATTACTCCACCAAAGCCCCAATCATTTGTTCCTGATTTAATATATAAGTAAATCAAATTATTTTTCCATGCTTATAAACTGTATGTCTGTATCAGCAGAAAATAATAGTAACATACATGTCATAGCTCTCTCAGCTTACTTTTACCAATGATCAAATCTTCTCTCTCACTAATTTGACAACGTAATCTATAAAGAACCAAATTACTCCACCAAAGCCCCAATCATTTGTTCCTGATTTAACATACAAGCAAATCAAATTATTTTTCCATGCTTATAAACTGTATGTCTGTTTCAGCAGAAAATAATATAGTAACATACATGTCATAGCTCTCAGATTCCACAATAGTATGTTCCATGTCAAGACGCCCAAGAAATGATGGCTTGGATGTCAATGTGGACAAGTGTTGAGCAAGATTTATGTGCCTCTAGACCAAAAAGAAAGGCAAGTTAAACTCTTGAGCTCAATTGCTACAATCAAAAAGTTTGGAAACTATACACAAGATATCACTTACAGTCATCTCTGGCAAGGAGTTAAGCTTCTTGACGAAGTCCTTCAGTTCAGATACTGTTTGATTCTGAAATCATGTTTTGACAATTCAATTAGTTTTAAAATCGATATCTAGTGGTTCTCCAAAAAAAAAAAAAAATTCGATATCTAAGTGCGTTGTACTACAGCAGAAACTAAATTCTACATTTTCTTATTTTTCAGTAGCAGACTATCATATTACCAGCCTAACTATTTCCCATACATGTGCAAGATTCTTAGTAAAATATACAGATGTACTAAGGTTCATCCTAGAACTTTTAATCACTCTCCTTGAAACAAGAGGGAAGACATAATCCCACTCTTTAGAGACCTTCACACAAAATTACTTTTGAGAGATTCAAATATCATTTTGTAACTAAAATTACCTTAAAGGCTTGCCAGTTAAGCAGGTAAAACCTGCAGAGCACTAGGGGTTCATTTTCAAAAAGAACATAAATTGCAGAGGAAACGTATTCAGCTAGCATTTACCCAGCTCCAAGCAATATAGAACAACTATGAATATGTAAAACAAATACTACATTTCTTCACACACACACACACACAACACACACGCACACATGCACCCGCACGCACGCTCACACGAACACACACACATGCCCACACACATGCACGCACACACACACCCGCACCCTCGCGCACGCAAACGAGCAAACACACAAACACACCTTTTTCTTATATAAACCCATTTTCCTAGGGTTGCGAATCTACAATGAGTAGAACAAAAAGGAACAAAGCGGGTATATAAAGTATCAAAAACACAATTAATATGGAAAACCATCTCGGAATTTCATACACAATTAAGTTCACTGGCAACAACTATGTACAATTGGATATACGCCTTAGAACTAAGCATACTAAAAAAAATGAAGGAATCCATCTTTTGTGAATCACATCCAACCAAAAGTTAAGAGACACAATTGCAAGGGGTTTCAGCAAGTAACATTTATTCCACTGAATTCATGTAAGCTACAAAGCAAAAAATGGGCACAACAGTTGATAACTTACAGTGGTTGTTATGTCAGTATAGTCTTGTTTCATGGATGTTGCTTTTTGGCGTAAGACCTGCGATTTTGTGTAAACATATCAGAGAAGATCAACTGGGAATAAAAAAAAAAATGGACTAATTAGCCAAATAAAAGTAATTGGAGATTAGAGCAATTGCCAACCTGGACAACAACTTCAAAATTGAGGTCCCGAGTCTCCTTAAAAAGCTTGTCACTGAAAAACAAAAAAAAAAAAAAATGGTGAGATAGCTGGAATAGGTTTACTTAAAGATGGGATATCTGTGAAAAACACCATTGATCTAACATACACACAGTTTTTGGAAATAGTTTCAGTGTATAAAATGACAAAAACTTATTTATCAAGAAAGAGTAATTTGGCCCTAAAGTATATTGTTTTGGCACAATTGAATAAATTCCAAGTGCCAACTTATAGGCCAAAACACCGAATAATACCAAGCACTTCAGAAGGTTTTTTCCTCCTACATACCACAACCCCTAACTGTGTAAGGCTTGGAAAGTCAAAACAAGAGCTCAAAAATAGTTCTCTAATAACCGCACTAGCATATAATCACATCTAGTGCTTTTAGAAGACATTGAAACTTCCTCTATATTTATATTTTAATATTCCACTTTGAATTTCTCGTTTGCAAGCGTTGATATTTGTAATCATCTACAAGTTATAAAATTTTAAAATTATAAAATAATATAAGGCATATCCATTTTTATATGCTAAGGGTATGTTTGGTTTATCTTATTTTGTGTGAAAAATATTATATCTAAACTTAATTTACTTTATTTTACTTGAATTATCCGAACTTATGTTGCCAAAGATTAGAACTTATTTGAAATCATTTTATTTGAAATAAGACAAAAATAAGTTCAAATTAGATGAAACAAACAGATCATTGGTAAAAAACAATTTTGTAAGAAAAAAAGACGTGAATAATTCAAAAATCAATATGGGACAATGCAATTAATTAAAGCCTTAACCCCATAAGTAGGGTCGGCTATATGAACCAAAAGTGATTATTCTGTATATTGAACCACAAAAATCTTTCTCCTTCATCCCTTATGAAGTTATGATCAAATGCCAAAATCTCATACAAATCCATCTACTTCCCATCCTTCCTAGCACCTTCCAACCAAGTCATTTCCGGTCTCCCTCTCCCTCGTTTAAACCCTCCATGGTCTCTCTCTTCCACTCTTTGTACCGGGCCCTCGGCTCTCCGTCTTACATGCCCAAACAAACATAAACAATTTTTACTTAGTTTTTCAGCAATGTATGCTACACCCACTTTCTTTTGAATAACCTCATCTCTGATTCTATTTGTTAGAGTGTTCCTGCACATCCATATTAACATGTGCATTTCCGTAACCTCCATCTTTTTAATGTGCTCCTTAGAAGCGCATCATTCTGTACCATAAAGCAACACTTGGTCTGTGTTCCACGGGAACGCTTCAGTTACCTAACACTCCCGTGGTCACTCTCCATTTTTCTTGATGATTGGCCCAAGAACTTAAAATAATTCACTCATTTTCAAGTCTTTTTCGTCCAAGCTCACTACATCATCGCTTGTCCCCTTCTATGTACCAAATATTCAGTCTTACTCCGACTTAACTTAAACCCTCAATATTCCAACCTTTGCCTCCATTGCTCTACTTTGGCATTAACCACATCTTTAGTTTCATCCACCAAAACAATATCATCCGCAAACAACATACACCATGGAACCTCATCTTGAATTGGCCTGGTTACTTCATTTAGAATTGTTTCAATATGGAATTGTGGGGAACTAAAACTTTAAAAGTCAATTAAAGTGCCTTAATTTGCGTGTTTGTCAAAGCAATGCAACTACTTAAGGACCGAAGGAGTAAATGATTTTAGAAAGATGGGGGGTAAAGAGATGAAAAGGAAAAGTGCTAGTTGAAAGCTAGCAAACAATAATCCTTTGACATTATAAGATAAAGAATACATAAAGACCAACGTTACAAGGAATGCGGTACGGTGCCACGAATCGCGAACTGATTCATGCGAATCGGAACGCGGAACAAACACGACCTGCCGGTGGCCGCGAACCAGAACGCTGAAGGTGGCGACTCGTAGTTGTGGCTGATCAAAGACGGTTGTTCTTCCTCTGCAACTTCTAATGGGTTGTTTCCTGATATTTGCAGTGCAATATTCTATCTCTTCCTTCTTTCACGTGCATCTGCTTATTTAATTTTTGAAAATTTTCAGACTTTTTTCTCTCTCCTTTCTCATGCTTTACATAGCAGTAACATTTTACTAGGGTGGTGGCTAGGGTTTTGTTTCAATTAGTGAAGGCTTAAACCTCTATCAACAACAGGGCCTCTTTTTAATGAGCAACTTGGGCCTTATATATTATATAATCTAATTTTTTAGTAACCCGCTCACCTAAATACATATTTTATATGGAGGAGTTATTATATACTTGTATTTATTTTAATTTCTAATATAAAATCTATTAATAAAAATCACCTATATTTTTTTTTTATTAATTTACTATTTCGTACCCAATTGTACCGAATTCACCACGGGTAGCGTTTTGCGTATTCGTTTCCGTACCACGTTTCGAATTGAATCCAGCCCCTTGTAACATTGATAAAGACCATACAAGGATATGTTATTTTCAACTTATTTACTTATACTTATTGCAAGTTTGTAACTAAACCACCTAAAAAAAAAACCCAACTACAACAAAATTAAAATAAAATTCAGACCACACTAGATCTTACTTTGTTTGCTCATCGCTTAACATTTTTAATTGTGTGCCCTTAGAAATATCCTATTTTTTCTTTTTAGTGCATCACTTTCCTAAATTAGTTGTGTTTTTTTTTTTTAAATCCATCATTTCCTTTGTGGACATCTTCACTTATTTTTATTATAGCTCTCTCCTCACATGTTTCCCACTCCTACATTTTTATGATTTCCCTCCACTCACATTCCTTACTTTAAAAATTTTAGTTCCCCAACAAACCCAATTTACTGAATATTTAACTTTATTTAACTCGCATACTTCAAACTATGTGCTAGTCAAACTATAATACTTAAAAAAAAAAAAAAAAACAGAGGCAGTTATATTTGCAAACATCACATCAAGACAAATCCAACAAGATCCACTTGATAATGTTTATTTTCTTTTATATTAGCATATACAAATACATTCAAAGATTAGTCAAATCATGTGATCGGATCAAACTATACTAGACTAGATCTTAAAATTCTTAACAATCTTAATTTAAGTAACGACAACAACGCTTAAGATATTTCAACAGTGAAACATATCTTCCAAAACTCTAGGAACAAGCCACACAACATTGATAAACCTAACGGAAAGGCTACTCAAAGAAAAAATGTGTCGTTCAAGTCGTTCTACTCCCTCCCCTCATATTATAAGTAAAAACAAGTAAATTTCAGACCATAAGCATGTTGAAACACCAATGTGGGTTCAGGTAAAAACTTAAAATGAGTAAAATGCAAATGCTAAGGGGTTAAAGGACAATAGTAATCATGGAAGAACTAAAAATAATGCGATAAGTAAACATTGAAGTATGATTCCAAAACAATTGAATATCTCCGAAAAGTTATCTAGAGTAAATTCAATAGTAGTAGATGTTTAAAGATAGTTTAAAAGCATTTCTTAAGATATACCTTGAATTTAGCGGTACTTTGACCTTTTTCCCCTCTTGGGCACCCATAATAGATGCATCAAGCTCCACAGCCCCATTATTCACATGTAGCAACTGCAATAGTCCAATCATCATATAGGTTGGAACAACAATTGAAAAGTTAGAGATCCCAATGCTTACCAACAAGCATTGGATAGAGAAGATAGAGATTTTTAAGTTTTCAAGTAAGCTTTTTAAAGCTTAGCTATTCGTAATTGTTATGCCCCAGAAATAAGCCAACCCACAAAACTAAATAGCAGCTAAGCAGGCATTTATGAATATAAGGCCAAAAAAATAAATGATGACGATTTGACAAGACTGCTGTGAGGTTCAAATTCTTACCCCCTCCGTCATTTTATTAAGAACTTTTATTCCTTTTTGGGAGCCTAAAATTAAGAACCTAGATCTATTTTAAGGTTTTACTATATGTGTTAGAGCTATCGCAACGGAAATGTGGCTTCTACTAGATAATATGAATTCGATACCTCACAAAGATAAATAATATTTTGGGATAGAAAAATGACCACTGTGAAGGAAATGATAAATATAAGAAAATAAACTTCTTAATGTTAATAAACTTTGACGTGAATAAAAATGATTGAATTGTTAAACTCTATGTTACAACCTAGGTAATTTATATGAGTTTACATGCTATGAAATGAATGAAGGATAATGAATATCTCATATGCCTCCTATTTCACTGGTGATTATATTGTTATTCTATTTTAATTAAATTAAAACTCTCTTTACCCTGAAATGATGATTCTATTATTATCTCCTCTATACTAGGAGTTACAACCTCATCATTATTTCCTTATTTGTCTACAATTCTCTACCTCGTTCACAATTTGAAGACATTCAAAATTTTGGACGAACAAATTGCATAATCCATATCCGGTTGCACCATTTTTCACAATGACTGCCTATGTACCCTTAACCAGGATCAAATCAATCGTAGTTCCATTTACTTCCCCATGTAATCCCTAACACAGGACAATGTTTAGCAATTCCAAACAATGTTGGCTGAGACAACTTTGGTTAATATGTTTGAAGGGTTCTCATTTGTATCCACCTTCATTAGAGAAATACTATCTTCCTCTACGACATCCTGTACAAAATACAAAATGATATTTGACATCTATATATTTGGTACGAGCATGATGAACCCGGTTCTTAGCCAGGTGAATAGCACTTTGGCCATCACAGTTTAGATTCACACTATCCTGAAGAAGTCCCTTCAACCATAATGCTTCCTTAACTCCTTCAGCCATAATGTTAGAATCCAACTCCTTTTGATGTATTAGATTCCCTTTAAGTGCTTTCCTAGAGTTTAGTTTATGCTTTCTTAGCTTGAGGTCCCATTATTGTGTTATTGTCAGATCAGTGTTCACTAGGGATTCTCCTTGTATGTCATTTAAAGCTCTTTAGAGGGCGAATGATTAATGAAATCTTAAAGCCTTCTACCAAGTGTTGCCTTGCTTTTATGCTTGTTTGTTGTTAGACCTTTATAGATATTGTGTCTAACTTGCATATTAGCTCCCCTCCAACCCAACTTAATGCGCTAAGGACTCGTGGTTCGGACCCGCTTGGGCCCGCTTTGAAGTATCGGCCGTCACAAGCCCCGACCACCCGCACTCCGTCGCCCAGATAGACTTGAGTGCTCCTGAGATTCTATTGCCCGCTTGTGTTGCTTTGTGCTCACAAGTCCCTCTTCCGCTCAAGGCTAGCGTTCTTGCCACCAAAAGGCTAGAGCGCACTGCACGTTTCGGGGCCCAAACTTCCGGACCGTGACATATAGCCATATACTCGGCTTCTGTCGTAGATAGAGCTCTAAAGCCTGTAACATAACAACACTGACTGTGAAATGTTTGGACGTGTACATAACATAGTGTACATTAAACTGCCTACTGCATTAGCATAAGGTACATTATTCATGTATGCCTTATCATCCGCTGTAGTAGGAGATTATTTACCACGGAGCCTAAAATGTGGAGCCAATGGAGTCGCCACTGACTTAGCACCTTTCATTCCAAACCTTTCAATAACCCGCTCAATATAGTCATTTTGGCTTAAGAACAATTTCTGGCTTGATCTCTCTCTTCTAATCTCCATACCCAATATTTCATTTGCAGCGCCTAAGTCTTTAGTCTCGAACTCTTCAACGAGCTGAATTTTTAACCTATTTATCTCCACCTTGCTTTTTGAAGCAATAAGCATGTCGTCTACATACAATAGGAGATACATATAATCACCTCCACGAAGTTTGCGAATGTATACACAACAATCGTAACTACTTCCGGAAAATCCTTGTTTTGACATAAAAGAATCAAATCACGTGTACCACTCTCGAGGAGATTGCTTTAATCCTTAAAGTAATTTCCTCGAGCGACGTTTCTTATTCTCTTTACCCTCAACCTTAAATCCTTCGGGTTGATACATATAAATTTTCTCATCCAAGTCTCCGTGTAAGAAGGATGTCTTCACATCGAGCTCTCAAGATCTCCATGAGCTACAAGACTCAACAACATCCGAATAGAAGTATGTTTTACCACCGCAGAAAAAATCTCATTGTAATCAACACCTTCTTTCTTGTGAAAATCCCTTAACCACTAACCTAGCCTTATACCTTATTTTATCTAATTTGGAAGGATCCTTTTTGCTTTAATACAACCAATAGCAGTCTTTCCCACGGGCAATGGGACTACCTCCCATGTCTTGTTTTTATGAAGAGATTGCATCTCTTCTTCCATAGCAACCAACCAACTCTCTTTATCCTTGTCTTTGAAATCTTGTTTGAAGGCCCGTAATTCCTCATACAAAACTAATTTATAATTCCTATTTGGCTTAGTGGATGCCAAATAATCATGTTGTTGTTGTTGTTGTAGTACGTGTGCATTTTCCTGCTAAATCTCCTCATGATCCAGATCATCCTCCTCCTGAACATGAACATGCCTAGAATCTTGTTGGTTTCTAGATTCTATCTCCACCAGTTGAGTATTTGTAGTCATTCCAACATCACCATCATTAGGCATCATAACTTTCGATAAAGCTACCATAGATCTTTCATCATTGGTCACATCTCTGCTAATTACAAATTTAGAATCTTCTACACTCCAAAGACGATAACCTTAGAACCCCTTTTGGATACCCCAAAAAGATTGCTTTCTTGGCTCTTTCATCACGTTTGTTATTTTTAACATGATGATAAGTCGTGCACCCAAAGATTTTGAGTCTCGTGTAATCTGCATGTTCCCCAGATCATACCCTATAAGGCGTGTCACCATCTAAATAAGAATGAGGGGATCAATTTAATATATAACAAGCTGTAGCAAACAACTCCGCCCACCTTTCTTTGCTTAATCCAGAATTAGAGCGCATGCACCTTGCCTTTTCAAGTAGTGCATGATTCAGTCTTTCCACGACTCCATTCTATTGTGGTGTGTCTCTTACCGTCCAGTGTCTCACAGAGTGCCTTCCTAATCACAAAACTCCTTGTAAGGTCCTAATGTGTATTTGGTACCATTATCAGACCGTAAATTTTTAGCTTTCGACCTGTTGTGTTATCAACCATTGCTCTCCACCGCTTGAAATGTCGAATACCTCATTCTTATGCTTAAGAAAATAAATCCAAGCATATTTACAATGATCATTAACAAATGTAACAAAATACCTGGAACTAACTTTGAAAGCAACTTTAGCCGGACCCTAAACATCCGTTGCACATAGTTAACAATCCCTTGCTCTTGTGTTTACTTGTAGAGAACTTCACCCTGCGTGCTTTTCTATACACACAATGCTCACAAAATTTCATTTGTAGCTTCTTCATGTTCTCCAACAAACCTTGTCCACTAAGTAACGGCAGTCCCTTTTCCGACATATGCCCAAGGCACATGTGCCATATCCTTGTGCATTCTGTTTGGTCTTTACTTCTACCAATTCCAACTGCTAAATCAATTGTAACAATTGTCCCCAAAAAAGGATAAAGATTACCGTGACGAATTCCCTTCATCACTACCAAGGAACCACAAACAACTTTTAAAACTCCATTCTCCAAAACTATCTTGCAACCATTTTTCTCTAATAACCCAAGAGAAATAAAGTTCTTCCGCAAATCTGCTTCAAAGTTATTATTGTTCCATCATGCATCTTAACTCGGATAGTACCTAACCCGACAGTCTTACAAGCATGATCATTTCCCATCAAAACAGTACCACCATCCAAACTCTGCTAAGTTGTAAACCACTTCCTGTTTGGACACATATGGTGTGATGCACTTGAATCAAGCATCCATTTATCGGACATCCCATTGCATTGTTCAGATTCTTGAGTAACAATAATCATCCTCGTCGTTTGAGACAAAACTAGCTTCTTGTTTTTCATGTTTTTTTTCCTCTAGAGTTGTCGTCGTTGTTCTTCTTGAATATTACCCTCTTATTAGGGCAATTAGCTTTAAAATGACCAAGTTCACCACATTTGAAACATGGCCTTTCCGCAAGAGGTCTAGATTTTGATCTAAACTTTCCTCCCTTGTCTCACCCTCTTTCATTAGTCCTTCGTCTTGTTCGTTGTGTTCTTTTCCAATACTAGACATTATTCCGCTTGTAGCAACCTTTCGAAGGTCATCCGCTAAAAGCGATGTTCTAGTCTTATCCATGGTTACAAACCACTAGATTTTCATAGGATTTCGGTAATGAAAGCAATAACATGAGTGTTTGGTCTTTCTCATCTACCTTCACATCAATATCCTTCAAGTCTGATATAATCCTATCAAACTTATTAATATAATCCCGTATTGAGGTGCCTTCTTCCATCTTGCATGTATACAATTTGGATTTTAAGTAAATCCTATCTGTTAGAGTTTTCGTCATGAAATTAGCTTCTAACTTTGTCCATAAGCCAACGATTGCTTCTTCAATTACCAAGAATGCAACATCCCTCTCAAGGCATAAGATTATAGCCGCTCGTGCTTCAAGATCCCAATCCTCATCCTTCATGTCCCAAGTTTGTTCTCTTCCCGCCAATGCCTTATGCAACTTTTGTGATACAAGCAAATTTTCATTTGCATCCTCTAATAGGAAAAATCGTTTTTACCATTGAATTTTTCGATTTCATATTCCCCAACTTTAACTTTCCACTAGTGGATGCCATTATAATTAATTTCAAAATTAAAAATTTTACCACTTAAGATTTTTGATGTGAGCTCTGATACCAATTGTTAGAGCTCTCACAGCAGAAATGTAGCCTCTACTAGATAATATGAATCTGATACCTCACAAAGATAAATAATATTTTGGGATATACAAATAACCAATATGAAGGAAATGATAAATATAAGAAAATAAACTTCTTAATTCTAATAAACTTTGACATGAATAAAAATGATTGAATTGTTAAACTCTATGTTACAACCTAGGTAATATATATGAGTTTACATGCTATGAAATGAATGAAGGATAATGAATATCTCATATGCCTCCTATTTCACCGGTGATTATATTGTTATTCTATTTTAATCACCTTAAAACTCTCTTTAACCTGAAATGATGGTTCTATTATTATCTCCTCTATACTAGGAGTTACAACCTCATCATTATTTCCTTATTGTCTACAATATGAGAATAGTCTCCACTTTTTGATAAATTGTCATCTCTTTTTTGTACTATTACATCAATTTCCAAAAACATGCAACTCTTGCAAGCCTAATCTTGAGAAGAAGACACCAACATAACCTCTCTAAACCTTATAAATATTTGATAAAATTCTTTCATGATGCAATACCTCCACTGCCACTTTGCCTTGAGAGCTTCATTACATTTCACTTTTAATGGCATTCAAAAGGCACTCCAATTACAGAACTCATTTTCTATCTCTGTTTTTTTTAATTCTTGTCCAACTCTTCCCTCCTCCCTACTTATCAAAAAAATTAATTATGTAATTCTTGTAACTGTGCAAACTGGTCCACTACTTTATTAGACAAAATTACGCAGTTTACTGACTGTAAAACTGAATAACAAGAGCAGTTTAAGCATGCATTCTCTTACCTCATCCAACAAGCCTTCATAAGTTAACTGGGTACACATTGGAGTTACCATGTCCACCTGCAATGAAGAATTATCTGATTTCCTGCCATCACATAATACTCGACTAATATCCACCCAAAAGTTTAGCTATGTGAAACTTAGATTTGAAGTGATGACTAGCTCATTCAGTTGCATGGAAACCTATATCTACTTTTCCAGTGAAATAAAGAGCATGCTGTTTAAACAGAAAAAAACCTAGATATTTCACTCTATTATCTTAACAAATGTATAGAAGCATGAGGACATTTATTTTGTATGCCTTATCCTAAAGATTAACATTAATCTAAGCTGCACTTCACACAATTTGCTTCCTTGTTCATTACCCAAAAAGGAACAAGAATTGAAGAGCTTCATCAAGATTATATATTATATGACCTACTTCAATCAAGCAAGAAATGCAAGGCAATTCAAAAATTTACCTCTCTATCGAGCAAGATCAGTGTACTTATATCTGGTACCGCCTGAAAGTGATGTGTATAAAAAATGTGAATAATTAACCAATCAAAAGAACCTACCATTTTTTAACAGATTTCAAACTGAATATACACTCAAAAATTAAATTTCGATTACCTCATCTATGTTGACTGGCTCTTCTGTCTGCATTCTATCCAAAATCTCTGCAACACGGACTGAAGCCTTGCCTTTCGCCCTCACATTTGGTATCAAGCCAAACGAAAACTATACACATGAAACAGAGAAAGGTTCAGAAAACTACCTAAATTACTTTTTGAAAAACGTCTTGCTACAAATCATCACGATACCGATGCATCTGAAAACAATAACTTTCTAGCAATGAGCCTGGTTTAATGTTGCTTGATCTCAAGGACTAGCATTTAAAACATGAGAGAATTTTAGAGGATGCAGTGCAAGTATGCAACAATATTTGTTACAATGTGAACCATTTAACTGAAATCCAATCCCAAGGTACCTAAAGTTTAGATTCAGAACTTTGGTTTTCTAAAAAATGAAATCTTCCTGAATAGAATACAACTGCTGTTGTCCCTCATATGAGTCAGATCCAATTATTCAGGTCATATAGCCATGTAATGATGCAAAACTAATTGGTAAGAGAGCTCATTGAGCAAAATTTATAGACAAGGCACTAAAATTTGAACCTTTTGATGATATGCTAGTATAGGCCTAATCCTTTAATGTCAAGGCATTTTTAACTTCAACTACGAAGTATTACTTATTACTTATTTTTCTTAAATTCAGATAAGACCATAAAGTATAGATCAAGCCAGAAAGATACTAAAAAAGAACTTGAAAATTTAAAACCACAGCACCTTAAATAAGGTGAAGAGAACAAAGCCTAGGCCTACTTAGCCAAAATGAATCTACAAAAGGTATTTAAAATAGGAACTGCAATATATAACAAAAGACAATCCAATTTGAACGATGTGGACATGAAAACGGTCACTTTACAGTATTGTGATTTGTAATGTTAGGTTTAACCCCAGTTTTGTAGATAACTTCCCTCTTACATTATGTTTCTGTTAGCAACATAATAATCACAATTATAAGCATGAGCAGTGTATGAACACAAACAATACTCCAAGTATTGGTACCATTTTGTATTAAGCCAATTACCCAGCCCAACCATTATAATTCAAATATCAATAAAAAAAAACTGATTGTAGAAGATGAAGCACAGCCCTGCATATCCTGCTTAAAAATTTGTTATTTTACAAATGGAAAGCTGCTACTCAACCAACAAAGAATCATGGTTGCCACTCTTTTTCCTTGTATAACTGCTATTTTAAGAATCAAGGTTTGTGCAGTACAAAAGCAGTTTGGGGTATCACAAACCCAATAGGCAGAAGGTAAAGTAATACTGGAATCAACAATGCAAACACTTCTCTGTATATAACATCAACAATTCCTTCCTGAAAAAGATCCCCCACTCCTCCTGACCTTCATTTTTGTTACAGAAATAGTTCCAAGGAAATCATAAGTGCAGTGGCATACCATGCATATGTCTGTATCCTACACTCACTCTAGTCAAAAGTGCTACATACATTGGAATGATGAATGTCCAAGAAAAGTAACTCATTCAAAAGTGCCTAATTTATTTAATTAGTAATGTAGACAAGAGTGATAATATCTAATTATGTATCACAAAAAAATAAAAAAAAATAATAAATAATAAATAGGGAAAATGGAATCTAAAAATCCAACCTTTGCGAGGTCTGACAAAAAAATCCAACCTTGAATTAATCTCGCAAAAATCCAACCTTTGCACCCCACCTTCTCCTACGGATTCATTTGACCTTTAACCTCTATTAAATCGGTAAAAAAGTTTTTTTTTTTTTCTCTTTAATTTCCCTTCTCGCTCCTCTTTCTCTCTCCTCTCTCCAACAACCCACCAAGGCACCACCACCAATTCGCCACCCTAACACCAACCACCCTAAATGGCCGACCACCCAGAACCCAACCTTAACACCAACCATCCTAAACGGCTAAACCCCGACCACCCCAGAACCCAGCCACCCACGAAATTCGACCCACAACACCGGGGGTTGTCGGATTTGGGTGGAAGGGGGCTAATTTGGGTCGGGTTTAGGGTGGGGAGGGGTGGAAACGGGTCGGGGAGGGTCATGGGTTGTCGGTTTGTGGTCGTCGGGCGGTGGGGAGGTTCGGGGAGGGGTCGGGCTGGTTTGGGAGGGTCGAATAAGGTGTTTGGTGTGGTGGTTAGGGTTTTAGATCGTAGGGGGTTTTGGTGGTTGGGGAGGTTGCGGCAAGGGGTGGGGGGAGATCGTCGGAATCCGACGATCCCGATGGTGGGGCTGGTTGGGAGTGGGGGAGGTGGCTGGTGTTGGTTGGGGGTGGGGGGAAGTTTCCGAGGAGTGGGGGAGGTGGGTGGGTGGCTGGTGTTGGTTTTTTTTTTTTGTTTTTTTTTTTGTTTTTTAATAATTAAAAAAATAATTGACCAATTAATGACTGACATGTGGCACATAACTTACAAAAATCGGTCATTAACAAGTAATGGATCTGTGGAAGAAGGTGGGGTGCAAAGGTTGGATTTTTGTGAGATTAATTAAAGGTTGGATTTTTTTTGTCAGTGTTTACACAAATTTCGAGTCTAAATAAATAAAGACGGGAAATAAAGTAACAAATGAATTTATATTAATATGTGATTTTTTGGGTACAATCTCTGTATAACAGTTTATAATAAAATAAACTAAATCCTCTGATTCTGTTCCGCAGCTTGATGATGACACGCGTGTGACACCTGTAGGTTGACGTTTGATGACGTCGACTTGAGTTTGAATGCAGGGTGACGTTTGATGATGTCAACCTGTATTTAAGGGTTTTGTTTGAATACACCTGAACGAGGGCTTTGAAGCTTAGTCCCGTTCAAATGTGTTTGAATGTATCTGAACAAGTCGGCACGAGTTTGATATGCTTGTTGACTTACTTCAGAGAGAATTCCGCTTGAGTTTTATAAGCTCTTAGAATAATGATTTCTGGATCCCTTCAACTGATGGAGGAATGGTGTATTTATAGGAGATGAGAACCCCTTGAGTGGACTTAGTAGGTTTGGGCCTGGCCCATTTTATGACTTAAAAGTCTTTTAACCTGGTCCATTTGGCTTATTTTATAACCCGAGTTGTATTTAATTAATTCAGATTATTTATTTAAGTGGGCCAAAATTAATTAAAATGGATCATTCATATGACTTTAACCCAAATTAATTTATTTAATTTAATGTGTGACACATATAAAATTTCCGTGTCTACAAATTGCCCCCTCGAGACTGTGTCACATACATGATTTGAAGTGTTTGGCGTGACAAGGTCTCGACCATTTTATTTGACTTGGAAGTCACTAGTACTTTATTTTTTCTTTCAAGCAAGCCCCTTCTCTAGTTCTATTTTTGCTGATGCAATAAAACACATAGGCGCTCAATACTTGGCAATGCTGCAAGCGTCACCTTATTCGGAGGTACCCAAAAGGTTTGAAGAAGCGTCTATGGTGTATCGAGGTATACAAAACCTCAAGGGTGATCCGGCTCCGCTGAAGCGCAAAGTTGAGTCTTATGTTTGTTCAGTCAAATCCTACCTTGCTTTGGAGGAGGCTGCAGCGAAACGACAAAGATCTGAACAAGTAACAAGAGACATACTTGCTCAATCTGAGTTTCTCAAGCAAGCGGAGTCCAACCTTGCTAACGAGCAAAAAAGGCAAGAGCAATTGAAGGAACAAGATGCCTTAGTCACAAAAAGAGTAGAAGACCTTGAAGCTGAATTGACGAAAGCTTGCGAAGAGAAGAATCGTCTAACAGATGACTTAATGGCCAGCAAAGGATCTATCACATCAATTGAAGAACAAATGAACGTTGCGAAGCAGATTTTGGACGACTTACATGCAACTCCTGTTCTGAGTGCTGGTGAGATAGTCCAATTGGAGCAACAGAAAGTTAACTTCAAGAGCTTCAGTCAAATGCTCAAACCTTCTGAGTGGATGGATTGATGATAGACTACCCCTCTTTTTATTTATTTTTTTTTTTTTTTATGGTTTAGTAGTTGAACAACACTACCTTTTTATTTTGACAATTTTTTTTTTTTTTGATGTGGCTGCACTTGATTTTTTTTTTCAAGCTGCCTACGCACTTGCTAAATAAACGGGTTATCTTGCAAGATCAAGCCAACGTAGTTCAAACAATGCTTTATTTATTTATTTTTTTTTTATTTATTTATTTTTTTTTTTTTTTTTTTTTTTTTGCAAGTAGTTTATCCTCTTACTTGGGAGTTAACATGGCTTTCACTTCATGAATAGTAGCGCTTTAAAAACTTGCCATTAATTGGACCTACGCGCAATCCCTCAGTATCAACAATTTTGTATGCTCCATTAGTGTAGACTTCTCGTACCACATAAGGACCATCCCATTTTGATGTGAACTTATTTCCAGTTTTGCGCAAAGTAATGATAGGCCTTCTCACTGCCAGGACCATGACTCCCACTTGAAAAGAACGAGGTCGAACCTTTTTGTTGAATGCACGTGTCATGCGAGCTTGATAGCATTGCAATTTCTGTTGAGCTTGTAATCTTTTCTCATCAAGTGCTTCAAGCTCAGCCAATCGAAGCTTGTCATTTTCATCACTAGTTAAATCCTCTTGAATGGCAATTCTTAGTGATGGAATTTGAACTTCTAAAAGTAGGACAGCCTCAACACCATACACCAATGAATATGGGGTAGATTGTGTTGCATTCTTGTATGTCGTCCTATATGCCCAAAGTGCTTCTCCTATCTTTTCATGCCAGTCACGCTTAGACTTTGCAACGACCTTGCTTAGCAGATTACAAAGTGTTTTATTAAATGCTTCAGCTAGACCATTTGCAGGAGCATTGTACATGGATGACTTATGTCGCGTGAACTTGAACTTTTGGCAAAGGCTATCCATCAAGTTGTTGACGAATGGCTTTCCATTGTCAGTGACAATTCTTTGAGGAATTCCATACCTATAAATGATATGGGTGCGAATGAAATCGACAACATTTTCTTTTTTCACCTCACGAAGGGGAATGGCTTCAGCCCACTTTGAAAAGTAATCAGTGGCAGCCAATATATAAGCGTGACCACCAGATGACTTTGGTGTGATCGGACCAACCACGTCAAGACCCCATCCTTCGAATGGCCATGATGTCACAGTTGGATGTAGTGGTTCCGGAGGCTGGTG